ACAAATAAATTTAGTAAATAAGTAAATATTTAGCTTGAAAATTTTAATACATAATTCAAGAGTTTAAATTTAATCCAGAGATTTATTTGAAATAAAAGAAAATAAACTTATGAAATGCTTTTTCTTTTTCTTTTGTGATTATAATTAAAAAAAATCCTATAAAACATATATTTTTTAAAATAAAATATAAAAGTAGTTTTAAATTCCTTAACTAGTCCTAAAATTTTTAAACCTAAACCTTGCTCGTTTTCATCTCAATCATTCTTCTCTTCATAATAGATTATCAAATTTCATTGCTAATTAAAATTTTATGTATTAAGTCTCTTTTTATCTTTCTCTAATTTTTTATTATATATTTTTAATTTTTTCAAGTGATTAAATAATTTTAATTTCTGATGGCAAAAAAGAAATTTTAATTTCTTATTTCTTAAAGTTATCCATCATATATAATTTGTAAGTTGACTATCATGCTTACATTATAAATGAAATAATTTAATTTTATGATCTCATCTTTTATGATAATAAATAATTTTATTTCATTATTATTAAATTATAATATAAAATTTTGTAACTATTTTTTTTGGTAACACTATAAACTTAAATTATTTTCTTATTTGTTAAAATTTCCTCTATTAACTCTTGTAATTTGAGCAAATGAAATAATTTAACTCTCTTTTGCTAAGTCATCTCTTATATTACATACGTAATAATTATATTATTATATTAACATGTGATAAAAAAAAAATTTTTGGGCCCCTCTTAAATTTTGGTCAAGTTTCGTCACTATTATCAACTTAGTCTTGTTGGTCTAAAATAATTGATACTTTGGTCCTGTCTATGCGTTTAATTTTTATTCTAATAGTGATTGCAACGAAACTCTAAAAAGATGAGAAATGCTGCTGTAACTTGAAAGATGGTGCAATTTTGGTCCTGTCTACTTGTTTAATTTTGATCCTAATAGTGATTGTAACGAACTTAAAAAAAAAAGACAAGAAATGCTGTAACTTGAAAGACGGTGCAATTTTGATCTTGTCTACACGTTTAATTTTGGTCCTAAAAGTGATTGCATCAAACTTAAAAGAAAGCTTAATGGAATTAAAGCTACTAAATAGTTTTTTTTTTTCTTAACATAGTTAGTTATTTAGTAATATAAAATTTTAAATTTTCACTTTAATTTTAAATTAAAAATTTTAAATTAATATATATTTACTC